TAAGAAAAAAGAAATTGATATAAAATTAAAGTTATAAATATGTTAGAAAAATCTAAAACATAAAAAAAGAATTAATATAAAAATTATTTACAATAAAGTAGAATGAGTTTACAATGATCACAATTTGTCACTTATATTAAATATATTATAATGAATTAGAATAAAAAATTAAAATCTAAAAAATTCTCACCATTGTCTATCGTTGTCCATCGTTGTCCTTAAACTCACTTATCGTCCATCGATGAGATCTTAAACTCACTTAATCTAAACTTTAATACTAAATCTATTTGCATTCGTATAACACTCTCGTTCAATTTAAATTTAAAGAACTTTAAAATACTGATCATTTGCAATTTAATTTAAAAATAATAATCACAACATGAATGCTTGAAAAGAGAAATAAGGAAAAAGGAGCTAATAGAAAAATAAATATCAAAGTTAAAACATGATAAAAAATGAAGAAGAAATTAAACAAAAAAATTTTTAAAATAAATGAACAAGTAAAAAAATAAAGGAATAAATAAAAGAAAGTAAAATTAAAAAATAAATGAACAAATAAAAAAATAAAGAAATAGATAAAAGAAAGTAAAATTAAAAAATAAATGAACAAGTAAAAAAATGAAGGAATAAATAAATGAAAATATAAATTAAAAAATAAATTAACAAGTGAAAGAATGAATAAATGAATAAAAGATTAAAGGAATAAGTTGATTAAATTAAAAAATAAAAATTAAATTAAAAAATAAAAGTTAAATTAAAAAATAAAAGTTAAATTAAAAAATAAATGTTTGAATAAATAAATATGTAAATGTTTAAATAAATGAAATAATAAAAAAATGTTGATTAAAAAATAAATAATATTTAATATATATATAACAATATTAAATGTTAATAAAAAAAAGATGTTATAAAAATAAATGAATTGAAAATTATTTTCTATCTTATAAAAATTTAGTTAAAATGCTACAGATTTGATCTATTCGTCGGGTAGGTTCGTTAATAAATGATTATTATCTCTGACTTGCGAGCTGTCTTATATAAGGTCGCGTCAACGAAGGTTAACGAAAATATACGTTTCTTGTCGATCGTATCAAAATTGATTTTTCGAATATAATGACTAATAATTTTATAATTTTTAGATTTTTATTGTTAATTTATAATTCTAACAAATTATTACAATAAAAAATTATATATATTTTTGCAAATTAAAACATTTATATTTTTTTAGTATTATTTTTTTTAATATTTCTTTATTTATTTATTTAGTTATTTATTAATTAAATTATTTATTTACTTCTTTATCTATTTTTTAATTTATATAATCATTTAATTATAAAATAATTAATTTATTTATTTATGTATTTATTCAGTTTTTATTTCTTCATTTATATATTATGTAATATATTATTTATCTTTTTATTTTTTTATTTCTTTATTTATACAATCAATTACTATATATTATTACTATATATTTATTTTTTCATATATTTACTTAATTAGACTTATTTATCGATTTATTTAATTTTTATTTCTTTGTTTATTTTTTTTTTCTATTTATTAATTTTTTCAATTATGTAGGTTTCTATTTATTGATTTATTCATTCTTTTATTTTTTCTATCTATTTCTTCCTATTTTTTCATTTATACAGTAATTTATTTTTTTATTCCTTTACTTATTTATTTATTCATTTATTTATTAATTGTTTAATTAATAATAAACTGAGAAAAGGATAGAAATAGAATAAAAATATTGAAATTATCGCCATCTTCAGAGTGTCGTAAATGAAATATACAAGGGAAAGGATAAAAAATAATATGAAAAGAAATACAGTAAAAATTTACTAGAAATGTCATCTTTGGAGTGTAAAGATTTATTTTCCAAAGCAAGATAAAGAAGAATAAGAATTGTATATTCGTGCCATCTCTTGAATGCTTTCAGAAACATGATTTTTTAAAAAAATTTCAAAGATGGTGCTGAAAGTCAGTCTTTATATTATTTCTATTTCTTTGTGCGTTTTATTTATGGCACTCTGGAGATAACACGGATTTTCATATTTTTACTTATCTCTGTTCTTTTTTTACTATTTGCTCTCTTTTACTATACTTGCTCTGTAAAATTACATTTATGAGACAACATATCTGATAAATTTTATTGTTTCTTTTATTCGATCTATTAATTAAAAATGTTAATAGAGTTTATTCGATTTAATTTTCATATATTATACATATACATGTATCTTATATTAACTAATAACTTTTCATTTATTAAATTTGTTAATTTTAATTCATTATTTTTAATTCATTAAAATTTATCGTTTTAAAAATACATTTACTCGAATTAATACTTAATATATTATTATTCATCGTTTTTCGTGAAAAATAAATTGTTCACAAACAATATCGTTAATCTATACAAAGTGCTGTATTATAATTAATCAATATGAAGCCATAACAAAACAAATTGAATTAAAGAATGGAAATGGGGAGAAGAAAATACACAGGGACAAATATACAACGTACGACATTTATTCTCTCATTTTCCTTAAATCGAATATCCTACGTACGGGTAGATACAGAGGATTCTATAAAGGTACATGAATTTCCATGAATTCTGAAAATTCGAGGAGATATATCAGCGTACCCTTACGACATCCCTTCTATTCCTCTCTGTCGTGTGCGTACAACTGTGTATGCGTGTGTGCGTATCTATGCTTCCGGTTTGCACCAGTCCATCCACCTAGGATTCGTACCACGTTACATCTTTTCCGTGCCTTCTTCAATCATTCATTCGAACGACGACGATCTCGCATTTCTCTTTTCCTCGCCAATCTCTCTTCTCCTCTTTAAATAAAACATTACTCGACGTTCGAATTCGAAGTCGGATAAAAATACTTTTTCTTCTTTTTTACGCGATTTCCTCACGCAATCATATCACACACACTTTTAATAAATTCCAATCTATATTAAAAGTTTTTTCAAATGACTCGGTTTTGGGGCGTGGAAAATTTCGTTCGACACACCCTCGTTAATATTATTCCTCCTCTCATTTTTAAAATCTTTCATTTCCCTTTTTTTCCATTTCTCGAAATCTTTGCTTTTCAAACCGTGAAGCGTAAATATTTACATTATTTCGCGACAACAAGAATCGCCGGGCTGTCTCCTTTTCGAATCGATAAACGATTCGATCGAGAGAAAGTCCAACTTTTTCGAACTCGCGCTGACTCGAATTTAAATTTCAATGATTCGCGACTCGAATCATCTCGAATCGATGTTCTCGTCACGTTTTAAATCTCTGATACTAGGAGCAGCATGCGCTGGCACGCCAACCGAGCGCTTAATCAATTTCAATCTTTTTCTTTTGAACAAGGACCGATAAAACTAATTGAACGCATTTTATATACACATCGACGCACAGTCTCTGGTCCTACGCGAGAATTATCACCCCACGTGATATGCCACGGGCTCAATTTTCCGCTAATTTTCCTCTTCGCCGTCCGTTCGTTCGCCTTTCTAATCGATACACTCGCTAAAGTTTCACCAGCTTTTTAACCCGATCAAGTTCGACCAACGACAAATAAAATTCAATACAAATGATATGTAAATCGAAGGCGACAAGACTTTGACAATACGTTCTATTGTCTTCTTCTTTTCTCTTTTTTTTTTCTTTTTCTTTTTTTTCGTAGAAAATTTAGCTTAATTTTCTTCCCATCGTATTCCAATTACTTAAGATTTTTAACAATTCAAATTTTTCTCTTTTCCGAACAAATGTCTATTCTACTGTTCTACTATTTCGATAAGAAAATTCTCTCGAGTGAGAAGCACGCTCGAGGAACGTGTATATCGTGGCGGAAAACGTGAAAAGTTATCGCGAAACTATAGAATCCAGATTCTTGGATCGTATTATCTTACAACGAGCTTGTCCACGATAATTTCGTTCCTCGAGCGTGGCGATATCGAAGCTCTTTCTCTTCATTTTCTCCAACTTATCAAATATTGTCATGGACTCTTCCTATCTCTCGCTTATTCTCCATTACAATAACATTGTTTCCGACAAGGGAACGAAGACATGGCCGACTTAAACTACAAAAAATCGTTGGTGCGTTTTATCGAGATCGGGTTGTGGACGCTTTCCAAAAAAATTTTTTTCGAAACACTAGCGCCATTCGTCCCCCAATTTTCTCCTATTTCCTTTCCTTCTTTTTTCCTTTCTTTCGACGGAGAAGAGGAAGCAAGTTGCGATGCGTTAAGGGCACTCGAAAGGTTGTACAGTTTCCTATGAATGAAACGGCAATTAGGCCGTCACAACACCGACAATTTCAGTCCCGTAGAAAAAATATTCGCTCGATTTCCTACTAAACTCTCTGCGCGGCGAAGTTACAGTTTCCCGTGGTTGCAAAAGCGTACAAGCTCTTACACGTTTGACCCCTTCGAAAAGCGGTACACCGTGTCGATTTGTTAACATTTTTCTCTCTCATCGACCTCGAACAATTTAAATATATTTCGACGATAGCGGTTAATCTATCATGCGACTCGACTAGAATAATTTTTCTCTCAGCTCCGCGAAATTTGCAAATGGACGTCGTAGGCGGGTATTATCCTTCAAGATCAAAGAACTTTGAAAAAAGAACGGAATTTGATCGAGAGAGGGCGAAATAGGAAGTCAAAAAATGGAAATAAAATTTTTCAATGTTATTGAAGAAATATTATTATAACAGTCTCGAGTAGTCGTTTTTATATAAAGTTTACCAGCGCGACTGATCGATTTATTTCGATTTCGAAAGGAGGAAAGGAAGAGAATTCTCAAAAGGGGAAAATCTTTCCCTCTCCGATCGTGAATTTTAGGATTCCAAGAGGTCGAAATAAAAATAATGTTTCAAGAAGAAGAAAAAGAAGAGGGTTTTTCCGTTAGAATACCGGCTATTGAGCAAATGCTTTTGAAAATTCTGAGTATAAAAAAAAAGGAAAAAAAAAAGAAAAAATGGGACAGAGAAAAGTGCAGAGGAATTAAAGCGAGTTAAAGAGGTTGAAAAATTCACGAGGATCCTCGTTACCGAAATTAACTGTATGTCTGTTCGATAGAGAATCGTAAAGAAGCGAAGGAAAGACGCTTTTGTAAATATAAAAGCTCGGTGTAAAAAAAAAAGAATTAAAAACGAAAAAATTGAAGCAAGATTTCCCGTTCCGTTCTTTCCCTTTAGTAGAAGTAACATTTCCTCGAGCCATTGATTCTTTTTACACGCCCACGTACGCTCGACAAATATGGCACAAGGGTCATCAAGACTCAACGACACTACTACGATGCTAGTTCTTTCCAAGAAATCATTAAAAAAAAAAAAGAGAGAGAGAGAGAGAGAAAGGTAGAAAAAAATAATATATAAATAAAACAAAATAACAAACAAAATAAAAAATGATACAAAAACGATAAACAAGATCGTTCATAAATAACAAGATGATTAATAACGGAGAAAAAAGAGGCAAAAACAACGAAAACAAAAAGGTAAAAGAAAAGATATTTTGTGAGCGATATCGAAGAGTGACTGGCCAAAAGGGTTCCAGTGGATGTTGGCAGGGGGCCAGAGAGTCGTTGGAAATTGCTAGGAGACTTCGCGTAGCCTATTGTCGACTGAACAGACGGTATCCATTGGGCAAGATCAAGGATCTAGGGATGGAGCCTCGATCTATTTCATCGAGATCGTCCGACGATTGGTTTCGAGCAAGCCGTTCCCATTGTCGGTGATCAGGGGCCCTCGACGATGCATCGTGGCCGTGGTCGAGTTGTTCTTCGGGGTCGAGGACGTCGTCTCCGTGGTTGCTCTCGTTGACGTCAATCTCTTCTGCGAATTTT